CTGCTCACCAAGCCTGCATTTATTTGATCCAAAATACAGCAAAAGCAGTAATATAGTGAAATATTTTTACTATTTAAAATAGCTGTTTCTATTTGAATATATATCAAAATTTCCTGTGATGCCTGTGATGCAAAGCTGAATTGTTAGCATCATTACTCCAGTCTTTCTAACATTCCTAAATGTTGCAATTTTTTAGCATCATTACTCCAGTCTTTCTAACATTCCTAAATGTTTTTTTTGTTGCAATTTTTAGCACTTTCAATATTTTTCAGGATTCTTCGATTAATAGAAAGTTCAAAAGAACAGCATTTATTTGAAATAGAGATCTTCTGCAACATTATAACTGTCTTTACTGTCACTTTTGATCAATTTAATGCATCTTTGATGAATAAAAGAAATTTGTAAAAAAAAAAAAAATAAATCTTAATTTGTATATTTTTTAATTCACTGGACTGACCAACAATAGGCCTCATCACATGGTTATTTAATATATAAAACATCTTTCAATTGAGAAAAACATTTCTATTGTAAAATGAACTAGATTTATTGATATAATTACAGTGACATAAAATTACTGTGCACACCCATACAGTGCGTATATGTGTGTGTCACCTTATTGTCAGATTCAGAGCTCAGTCTGGGACTGGATGCAGAGCGTGTCATTCCCAGTTTAGCCTCGGGGTCCTTGAGGGCCTCAGTGGCTGGCTCAGAGGCCCCGGCCGAGCCCAGAGTCACAGAACTTCCTGCTTTACGCAAAGACGTCCTCCAGGAACCTGGAGCCTCTGTCACCGGGGTCCGGACGGGTTCAGCCTACAGGCACACCACACATTATATTATATTATTACAAATACTTTCAAATATTGTACATTAGTGTGAATTTACATATTAATATGTATGAGGGCTGGGTGGTTATGAAGGTTCTGTTTTTGATCAATGTTATATGCATTCTATTCTATTCTATTCTATTAGACTTATTATAGGTATATAATTCTTACAAGGTTCATTATAGTTAAAAAGTAACACAACAAACAATTTTCATCAATTTTCTAAACATATTTTTTTCAGGAAGTTGCCAAAGCAACATTTCTCATTTTCATTTAGTTTAACTTGATTAGATGTACTAAAATAACTAAAACTAAAACTGAAATAAAAATTAATAAATACTATACAGACATGTTAAAAACTAATTAAAAATTACTAAAACTTTAGTTAAAATTAAAAAAATAAAATAAAATATGAACAATTTTAAAATAAAATAAATATTATATTTTCACAATTTATTTTTTACTCCAAAATTCAAATACATTAATTACAATTTTCAAATATATCCACAGCAATAATTGTTTAGTTTTTTTTGTGATAATTTTATTATCATCAGCCACTCAAATAATCATTTTTGGCTGCTGAATTGGCTGTTAGTGGCCATATGAATTGATTTATGACTATTTTAGTATATATTAGCACTTTGTACTACAGAAAACAGCTGTCAAACAGTTGTGCTGTACAGAAAATGTGGCTGGATTCAGAAAATCAGCATCAATAATTTCATCGAAAGCCAGATATTTGCCAAATCGTTTTGGATATACAAGCTCTAAATGACAGCAGTTTATCATTAGCAGTTCTCTGGTCACCTTTTTAACCTGGTTAAGGGCAGTGTTGGTCACAGAGCTCGCTACAGGCGCTGCATTGCGTTTGTTGTTCAAGTTGTTGATCATTTCTCGAGTTTTTGCTTTTTCTGAAAAGATACAGAAAAAAAATCACCAGTTAGCTAATGTGATTTTTGATTTCCAGAACAAAAACAGGTGGGGTTTGGTCACCTGACTCGGCATCACTCTCTGATTCGCTCTCTTCCTCTGAACTGGAGCTGCTGGAGGGTTTGGATTGGCCGGCTGTGCGCGACGACTCGTCCTCGTCCTCTTCTGTGGGCGGAGTCTGGAGTGAGGGCGGAGCATGTTTCTCTCGCTCATGCAGGGTGATCTTCTCTTTACTGCTCATACGAGAGATGGACGTCCTGTAGGTGACGTGAAAATCAGCCAATCAGTGAGAGCGGAGAATAAGTCATGTGATGTAACACTATATACTGAACATTCACAATATTCGATAATGAATCGGTTTTTGATTCAACGATTCACTTGCTTCAGTACTGAAAAATAACTATGAAATGATGGTGAATCAATCTGGGGTTTGTCACACAGGAAGTGATGCGTAATCGGACACCGTATGTGATGTTAGCAGTAGTATATTTTTATTTAATGCCATGTTAATGCCATCTTACACCGTGTCCTAACTACACACGTCGCGACGCTGCGACACGCGGAAAAAAAGGTGTCTTTTCCTTGTTAATCGGAGGTTTTGGCCTAACTAGCCACGACAGCGACACGCAAAATTTCTCATTTAGAAACTGTTTCTATTTCCGCGACGTCGCGGCTGGAACAACAACATTCAAACTATATGACAGTAGATAATCTCAGGTGATTATGTGCTTTATTCAAAGTTAAACGTGTCTAATATGAGTTTAAATATCATTTTGCATGACCTTATAGCCATACTGAAAGCAACAAAAGATAGTTTACCTCCGATATTGAAAATAAATTAAAGCAAAGATATCCGTTAAAACCGTGGACTCGCTGCGAACCAACCAACGAGTGTATTCCATGTCAAAGATGGTATCAGTCACTCAGTATGTACATTTAATAATGTTAAAAAGGTTTCATATTTATGAATTAGTTTATAAACGTATCCATTTCGTTGCGAGTGCAGTGCGCTTCGAGAGAGGCTCCGCTCCACACACGCTTCTGATTGGCTGAGATATTTGACTGATTCTGTCGCATCGCGTTTGGTGTGGACACCCAAATTGATTGCTGCTGGAATCTTGTCGCGTCGCGTGTAGTTAGGACATGGTGTTAGGCTATTTTCATGGCAAAAACAATTTAATAAATATAAGTAAATAAAAAAAAACCAATAAAAAACAGCAAACAAACAAGATTTTTTACATTAACATATGATCAAAATTCTAAAACTTTTTCTGGCAAAATTATAAAGAGTTTTCTACATACATTAAAAGCGGGACAGTCCAATAAAATCTGTTTCCGTATGTGATGTTACCTGCGAGGGCGAGCTGGCGCCATGGAAACAGGTGGGCTGGTCTCAATGACGGGCGTCTGGATCTTCTGTCTCTCTGAACGCATCTTTAGGAGATAAAAACAACAACAACAGCTGTTAATAATTCAACATCAATTCCCAAATAATTCAACCATAACTATCCCTCATCTTTTTATTTTAGCATGAATAAGGGTAAACCTGACAGAAATAGTCAAGAATGTGTCATATATCACCACAAAAGAAAGAAAAAATAAATTATATTCTGCATGAAGCAAATTTGTATTTCTTTATGTATATACTAAAAATATTTTTATAATAATAATAATAATTGTTTATTTATTCCAGTACTTGTCTGTATTTTATTTATTTGATTGTTATACATTTTTTATTTTCACAATACGATTCATCAATGATGAATTTATTTTACCATAAATAAGGGTAAATCTCACAGGAACTGTCAAAAATACGTAAGTCATATATCACAACAAAATAAAAGAAAATCATTTATATTCTGCATGAAGAAAATGAAGCATATTTGCCTTTTTATTATTATTTGAAAAACAATGATCTCAATTGTGACCTTGTGAGATTGACTTCTTTCATAATTAGTCATATAACAAGATATAGATTATAACAAAATAAAAAAGAAGAAATTATATTCTGCATGAATAAAATGAAGCATATTTGCCTATTTACACACACATATACATACATACATATATATATTAGTGCTGTCAAACGATTAATCGCATTAAATCTAATTAATTACATGATGTGGCGATTAATATATATCCTATGATCTCAGTTGTGACCTTGTGAGATTCAATTCTTTTAAATTACTCATTACTCTCCCGTCAAACTAGCAACTTGCAATAAAGTAGGACATACTTGCGCATTAATAGGGCTATTAATGCTGATCATCTGATATCACAAAAAAGGTACAACATGTCGTAAATTCCTATTAAAAACACCACTGATGCATTCAACCTTAACTGCACACACTTCCTTGAAATATCCTCATACTGAACACGCAGTTCTGTCAAGTACAAACGGAGGTGTGTTTGATGACTTTGGCTCCATACAGCACACAGAAAAAACGCTGGTGTTTTTTGGACATTCGTGCAGCAAAGATATCTGCTCATTTGCTCGGAGTGAAAGCATTCTTTGAACATAAACCAAAGAGGTGATAAGATAGCGGACATAAACGCAAGCAAAACTTACAGCATTCTGCTTCTTCTGCAGTTCTTCCAAGTTCTCAACGATGTTCTCATCGGCTACGTCGAGTGGAGTTTGCCCCTATGATACACAAATACACAATGAATACTTGATTGTAACTGGTTACTTACAAGATTTTATATTTGTAGCCATTTATTTACTTATTTTGAAAATACTATAGTAATTTATAGTAAATACTAGTGTTTTTGAAATGCTGTGTGGTATCGGGGCATTTTAACGAGTACGAGTACGAGTACAGGAGGCCAGTATCGGGCCCGATACCGATACCAGTATCGGTATCGGTGCATCCCTAGTAAAAACTAAAGTATACTACAGTATTTATTACAGTTCACTATAGTTCATACTTCAGTATGCTGTAGTGTTCATTAACAAAGTGTTGTAAATACTATAACATATACAGTATAATACACTTTACTATAGTATGGTTCAAAAACACTATAAAGTAGTATTTACTATAAATTACTATAGTATTTTTTCATGTAGGCACCATAAATGTCCACTCAGCCTGTCGTTGTTGTAAAATAAACCCCTTTAGGGTAATTATAGACCCCCGTACCACATTACTGACAGCGTTCATGTCACACATGTGTTCAGCCAGCAGAGTGCAGGCCTCTTCCTGTCCCCAGTGAGTCGCCGCGTGAAAAGCCGTCCAGCCATCACTGTCCCGACTGTCCACGTCTATCCCACACTTCAGCAGCACCCTGACGAGCAGAGAAACACAAAGACTCCAATGCTTTGAAAGGAGAGCTTGGTTACACTTTATTTTAAAGGGTTAGTTCACCCAAAAATGAAAATTAGCCCATAAATTACTCACCCTCAAGTCATCCTAGGTGTATATGACTTTCTTCTTTCAGACGAATCCAGTCGAAGTTATATAAAAAAATTGTCTTTGATCTTTCAAGCTGTTTAATGCCAGTCAGTGGGTGTTGCATTGCTTCAGTCCAAAAGAAGTGAAATAAAAAGCGCCCATCCATAAATATGGTTTTAAATATGTTTTTATATATGGTTAAATATGTTTTAAATATGGTTATTTTTCATACAAAAACGCATTGATTCGCTACAGGAGGCCTTTGTTCACCCCCCGGAGCCGTGTGAGACACTTTTTATTATGGATGGGCACTTTTTATTTCACTTCTTTTGGACTGAT